AAAATCGTGGACAATTTTAAATAAGTTTAAGTAATATTCAACATCATACACACATGATCAACGCGCGCAATTTTTTTAATTTATCAAAGACCGGTCTCAGTATTATTTTTCTGAGATAAATTAATTCGAATATCAAATTTAAACTGTAGCTAAAACACTAAAATAAAATGTGAACTCGTTTGAGGTTATGTGAACCATACTGTTGCATTTTATTATAACGTATTCATATACGTTTTTTTTTTTTCATAATTACTACAAACCACATGATTAGGATAGGATATCAGTTCTCGTAAAGATTTCATTTCAAATCCCTTCTGAACTGCAATGATGCAGCTAAATACAATTACTGGTCAGAACTGCATTTATGCAAATGGAAGAAATGATTAATAATGGAGAGAATAATTTAGAAATAAGAATAAAAATTATTCAATCATTGCAGAGATACTATTGTAAACAAATGTTATATTGTAGACGATATTTTAGACTTGTTGCTTCCTTTTGCGTTAATAATATGGTATCTTCATTCTGTGTGAAGTTTACGTTTAATTAAGAATCTATTGTTTTTGTGACAAGATTTCTCTATTAAGAAATATGTATTTAGATTTTTTGAAAAAAGTAACAGAACGAGCTGCTGCTTAAAAAAAAATTATTTTTCAACGTGTATTGTTTTCAAAAAAGTACTTACCAGTGTCCAGGCAGATGCCCATAGTAGGTTGTTCCAAGGATGCCAAGATCCTGTCACGGCCATTTACTCACATGCTTTCAATTAATTAATTCACCTTTTCTGACACGTTCTTTCGAGGAACAACGCACCACTAACAACAATCTTCTCACATTAAAAACTGTTCTAACCACGATGCTTTTCGGTATACTTCTTCAGTCAGCTTTAACTTTCAATGTTTTACACTTCCTTTTCAAACGATATTGAACACAGGTCAACAGTGTCCTTACGATAGTCAAATAAAAACGATCAACTACGATATTTTATTTCAGACCGGCAAAATCTGCGTACAAAAACAGACGGAGAATCGATTCGTAATGTTTTTTATCAATGTTCGATCCAATCGATATAGTCGTCTTTGGAAAGTCAGAACGATAGTTAATAGTTGTACCATTCAGTGTACATTCTTGAATGTTTGTACTCTAAGGTACATTCACCCTTAGCACGAATCACTTCCAATGGTAAACCGTCGAGAAATCTGCAAAAGGAGCATTTACCAAGGCATGATAATGTTGGAAGAGTAAGTGTGAAAAGTAAGCGGAAAATAATATATTATCTTCAGTTGTTCGTGACAATTCTGTTAATAATATAGACACATCAATAGTACCAATATTGCAATAGTGCAATACAAAATAAAATATGACAGGTTTTACAGTTTTATCGAGTTATATATTATTGATGCTATTTTTAAAAATATAATACAGATAATAATTCAAATTTATCGAAGTATATTACAGTTATTGCTATCTGACGATTAAATCATTAGTTTTTGCAATTTCGGTCAAAGACATTATACAACTTTCCAATAAAATAAATTAACATCTCTAAAATATTGAATTGCACATATGAGATATATTTTGTTTTCAATGCTTTATCGCTTCAAATAATATGAACGCGAACGCGTTCTATCGAAGAGGCATCGATCGAGTAATCCTCTAGGAAAGATAGTAGACCACGCGACGAAAAAGATCACCGCAGTAAATAGCTAGTTTTCATTCAAACAAAATTAAAATAGTTTGCAATCCTTTCGATTCGCTATATACTCCTTCTTGAATTCTTTTTCAAAAAGCCAAGTATAATGTGATATTGATCACTAAACTATCACGCACTATTATGAGGCACGAACTTACAGATATAAAAACTTCTTACGAGCTTTTGATTTGACAGTTGTTTCTTAATCTGCACAATAATATTTTTAATCACTATTCGACTGAAGGCGAAAGAAAGGTGTCTATTTCGCGACGAAAAGCACAGTTCAACACACGAGGCTTCCGGAACGGAACTTTCACGGGCAGAGGTTTCCTAGTCGCGGCATGATAACGCTGTAATGGATTGTTAGAAACAACTAGAGGTCGTAACAAGAGTCAATCGTCGTCATAGAAACGCCCATGCGCACCTTATCCTTTCTACGGCCATGCCCCGTGCATGTGTTTTGCATACATTTGAAGTAATAGCCACCTTTCTGAGTTGGTTGTAACGTATGCAGGTGTGCGTGTACGAGCCATAGGTTCAATGTCAAGTTCTTGTCGATCAGATAGTTCTCGAACGGACAAGCTAACCAGAAAATATGAATTAACTCCTTCCACTTCCTTCCAGTGTTTTAACTCTTTACAGATCTGGCTGAAATTCATTTTCATTCAACGAACACTAATAATATAATGCAAGATTATTAATAGAAAATTTATCTCTCTTTTCAATTTTACATACATATGTTTAATAATAAACAATATTATGTGGCGTCATTTTTTATAAAAATCATACTTTATATTTCTCCTACGCGTGATATAAGTAATTTGGTGGCTGAGAGGCAAAGAGTTAATACTTTCACTTTTGTCGTCAAATTCTTTTTTACCGAATGACATTTTTATATTTTTTTTTCTTCAAAGATTTTTCGAAAGCTTCTACTGAAATACAAATTATAACTATCGTAAATATTTGTCAGATTTTGGATCTCATTTTATTTTGTTAATTCGAGTAAGTCAAAATTTTTTTTTAAATCTTTCTCACGAGACAGAGCACGAGAAACAGGATGGTATTTTTATTAAAGTAAACTCGCGGTCATCAACTTGCAAATCGTTAGGTACAACACGCGAGTCAACATTTTTTTTTAAAACATTTGTTCTGTCCGAAGGAACAGGAAACGTTCAATCTTTTCTTTTGACACTGTTCATAACACGGTCGCGAAGAAGAGCTATTTTTGAGATTCATGACTTTAGCTTGCTGTTTCAACTTTTTCGCATATTTCTCGCCGGAAGATATTATTTTGTTACCTAAGGTTCCAAAATTTTCAATTCGTTCGTCTTCAATAGCCGAAGAGGTGTCGTAAAATGAAACAGGATAGTAATTAGTACCTTAGAAGAGGGTCGAATTTAAAGACTTCGGGGGGCCGGATCGCGGGCCGGAGGTTCTACATATGCGATCTCGATTTACCGCAATCGTGGAACAATCGAGACTATTGACATTTTATAGATTTGTATAATTCAGATCTATTAAGAGATAACGATATGTTTAATAGTTTGTTGTGTACAGAAGGACCTCGCATAACGTCATCAAAAAAGAGAAAGAAAGAACATACAAATTCTGAATATGGAATTTTGGGTTAATTAAATTTGACTCAAACAGCGATATCGATGGTACTTCATTTGTATTATGTTTCCCGCGTAATAGGGGATCCTACTTGTGCAAGTTGAGGTAGCATATAACTTGCATTCGTCAATGATTTACTCACACCTTATAAGCATCTTTAGGCTGTGGTTATAGCGGATGCGTATTCGGACAAATTGACATTTTGACAAATGAAACATCTGAAGGCTGCAATGCATACACGCATAAGAATTTGCATACATATTTGTATTCGTCCAAATGCCGGATCGTCCGAAGGTTTCTGTACGTTGCGCCGTCATAATTTTTATATTTTTTCTTTAATTCACCAAAATTGCTTTGCCATTTTCAAAAGCTTATTTTGTCGAAGAAACGTCAAGGAATTGATAAATATTTTTTTCAAACAAATTCACAAGGTAAAACAGCGTGAACCCTATTTTTAAGAATTTATTACCGAGGAAAGGTAACTTTTTGACAGTCTGCAGAATAGTCAACAAACAGAACGAATAGTCAGAAACAGTCATTTCGTAAAGCGTTTAAATTCTAGTCTAACAATCTAACGATTCACCGGTCTCTTGCTTAATATGAATAATAGCATAAGGAACAGTCATAAGTCCTCGAGTTCCGTCGATACGTCGTGAGACAGCTATCAAGAAGAAATTACAATTTTGTACGTAAAAAGGGATTATTCGAAATCTTTGAATAATCTGTTAAACAAATAAGCTCGTGGGTATATAATCAACTACCATCCTTCCTTTCTTTAACGAAAACGATGAATGCATTCGAATACACAACATGGAAAATGTCGACACCGCCCCGCATCGATTAAATTATTTAAATGTTCATTATACAGCTGCTTTGCTCTCATATGCCTATGCATAATTCTTACAAGGTAAGTCGTTTAGGTATCCACGCCCTTTTTCCAATGACATGAACCTCTGACACAACAAGCCGCTCCCCTGAAAACGATTTATCGAACTGTTTCGCAAAATTTTCCACCGCGTCGCGTCAAAATTGTATCGATTTTTTTAAACAAATCAATCGAAGAAGAAACTTCCAATGTTCCATATTCGGGGGAAAAGAAAGTGACACGGAGATGAGGATTTTATCATTCTGTTAGATAATTCTTCATCACTTACGCATCTTTTTGGCTCGCAGAGTAGTTACTTCTTTTTTCTCCTACCTCTTTGCTTTTACATTTTTCAATTTTCGCCACCACTATTTTTCATTTCACCGATATTTGGAAAAATATTTACATACCTTTAATATCGAGTATCTGAATACTTTTTAAAGGTGTTTAAACGTTTAATATGAAAAATATTCTCCGTTTCATTCGGAAGTATAGTATAGAAGAGTATAATTTTAAATTAGAACTTTTTTTTAATGGCTGGCGTTATTAGTCGGCGTATAGGTAAAATGGCGGAAACACAGTTGAAGACAAGCGATTTCTTAAAAACTATAGTGTTACAGTTCTCTACAGTTGTCCTTCGAACCTTCTAAGATACAGGTATGCATATCAGGCACAATTTATGAACACTTCTGAATGTCAATGCTTAACAAGCACGATATACAACTTAACTACCCTTAAAACATTGATACAAATGACGTGGTGCAAACTGTTAAAAAACACCATAACTATACTAATATCAATAAAAAGAATGAATCTTTATAAGAAAATATGTGATATAATAAAAGTAAAAATAAACATCTTTGTAGAAAATGAGAAGAAGAGTTTACATTAATCGGCTCAGTCGGTAAGTAATTTCTTATTTAAAAACACAGTTGAGCATAAGGTATAATAGTTAAAATCGTGGAAATCTTTCGTTAGAATAGAAAAGAAAGATGGTACACTTCTTTCTCAATAGTATACCGTGCATAAAACATTTAATATGAGAAATGTTAATAATCTTGAATGTTGAATGTGTTTCTACAGTAATTGTGGTGAATATGGAAATAATGTCAATCCAGTTTATGTCAATCGTAGAGGGATGATATAAATATTTCGGTAGCATTAGAATCAGACAGATATGATATAAATATTTTCTATATTTTTCAGAAGTTGCATATGAATATTCGTCTGTTTAATGGAACATTAAGGTCACGCTATATTCAAGAATTTAAATAAATATAATATAGAATACCGGGTACATGGAACACGTAAGTAGGTACACCTTGTTTTAGAAGAAAAATTTCCGAAAGTTTGTCACTTGTTAAACTGTTGAATCCTAGAAAAAAATTACGCAGGTTTTCTCTGCGGCATAATGAACACTATAAATGTACACGACGTACTATTAACACTCTAGTTTTAAAAACACAAATACTACTCAGAAATATGTATAAATAATACTACTTAATCAGGGGTTAGATTATTGTTTTATTTTTACAGTATTATGCAGAAATATGTAAAGCAAGAAATCGTTAATTGCATTAAAATGGTAGTAAAATTCAAATCAAGTGCAATTACTTTCCTCCATGCAAATATGTTATATTTCACAAAATACTTTGTAAATTTTATAACTTACATGCTGCAATTGCAACCAAAATTGTCTCATTTTTTGAATCTTTAATAATATATCGTAAGCAATTGAATAATGAGGTAACTCATCAGCGAATGTCGTATGTCCTCGACTTATGTACGTTAAATAACAAAGGTTGCTTGCTACTTGCCAAGAAGACGTCGATAATCATGCTATACATAAACATTAAATGAAGCTGTTAGAAATAGATGTTCTGTTAGAAATAGAAACTTCTGTCAAACATTGCCAAATATTAAATGTTGATGAAAACTCTTCAAATCGTAAAGCAACATATTTATTCGCTTTCTTCTCGTTGACATGTTTCAAACGCGGAAGTACGAAACTGACATTAACATTCTCAATCGAAGAGGTTCAAATTATTCATGGTATAAACTTTTTAACAATTTCGAAACTGAACGTCTGTACTTACGTTCCATTTAGTTCCTTTGAAATATGTATCCAACGAATCTAGTTTACAAAGAGGTATTAAAATTATTTAAACAATTGTAAATTTCTTTTGAAAATACGATCATGTTAGTGACGGATAAATTGTTTACTGAACGTAAGAAATGGGTAATAGTAAAAAGTAAATATTCAAATTGATAATACATTTTTTCAATGTCGTATTTGTTGAGATAGTACTTGTTCAATTAGTTCTTATTCTCAAGAATGTCGACTGTAGAATGCAACTGAAATAAATACCGTTGGATATTGATAAGATTGGTTTATTTTAAAGGCTTATTTTAAGTAACTCGAGTTAAGCCTGACCGATTAGGGGAAGTCCCCGGGTTCACGCGTCCAAGCGGGGGGTAATTTTCACATGCGGTCCGTGAACCGCGTGGAAGTAAGTCGCAAAAAAGGAAAATCATTTGTTAGATACTTTCCAACTCTTATTTTTATTTTATTACAATATGAATAATACAGAAAACGTAATTTTACATAAATTGTAAAACATGATTGTAGTCGATGCTTTTACATTGTCCAATGTAATTGACGAATTTACATTTACTATTTACAATGTCCGCGTAATAATTAAACTGCAAATATTTTTTTTTTTAATTATTCTCGATTATTTCGTTAGAAATTTTTTATCGTGCTCGTATTGAAAACTTCTCCGTTTATTCCGTGCATTATTCCTTTCTACAAATCTACATTTTCGTATCAAAACTTCTCCCGTAATACTTCTGAACATACAACAAGCGATACAAACAATGTTCCTTCAATTATCATTTTTGATGATTTTCACGATCATAAGCATTATCATTTTTGATAATTGAAAGTTAAAATTGAAAATGTTCTTTTAATTATCACAGGTATATTTAAATATCGTTCATTTCAGTGCGATAGATAAAAATAAATTAATAAACGTAATATTTAAACATCACTTTAAATTAATTAAATAATTTTATGACTCAGATGAAATTTCAGCTTCCGTGAGTTCTTTTTCTTTAAATAAAGATCACAGTTTTATTGCTAAGTACAATTTGAAATTGTTTTTAATAATAACTGAAAGAAAAGCAAGTTTTACGATGTGTAAGAAGAATAGCTGAAAATTCTGTCGAAAAGTATTGTTTATATTTCAATGAAATCACATATATTTCTGAAACTTCGCATGAATATTTATTTTTGGCTTTAAATTTCGAAAAATCTACCAATAAGTCTCTCAGGTTATCGATAAAATTAATCTTTATTTATAAATTCAGGTACTCGATTGTTGGAGCATTTATTAATATTACTCAGAGTATTAAATCCAACAAGTAATAATTGGTTATTGCACGAATTTGTATCGTTGGATCACAGATTTGACAAGAATGTATCTACGTTACTTATTAATAATAAATTTTTATCAATCTATCGATATTCGACTTCGAAAAAAAGATATGGAAGAGTAATATTCTTTAAAGATAAAATGAACATGTGAAAATGAAGCATCGTGTATGTTTGAGTAATTTGTCATTTCGGACCGCCTTAAATATCGTTAATAAAACAACGTAAACACAATTTTCAACATATCTGAAAAGGAAAAAGAAAAATTTTGCGTAGTCAGATTTCTTCCTCTGTGTATGAATTTATACAATCGTTGTTTGCTGTTGCCAAGGTTGAGAATAATGGTCGTCACTGTTGTTAAAAGAAGTGAGAAACCAAGCTGTAAATCGATTACTGTGAACACTATTATTGTTGTTGCTGTCTTGACCAACATCCCAAAATGATTTAATTTGCAATTCACGACTCAATATTCTTCCAGATTTGTGCTTTACCATCAGTTTAACGTTTTGATTTCTTCTGCGCCATCGTTGCCACGATTTAAAATGGAATCTAAAAACGACAATTCAGATGTGAATTTCATTTCCACCTAAAAGTGGTTTTCCATCTATTATGAAAGTTATTAAATATGTATGTATATATTCTTTATTTCAGCCACACCGCCACGAAATTTTCACTTGGTTTACATTTATGCACGAAGCTAACTTAATCCATCCGTTCTCCTCATTCTCTCATTCCTTTCTGCCTTATTCACCTAACTTATTTCTTTTTTTTTATTATCCCACTTATCGATCTACTAAATTTCTATCTATTTCTTATCGCCCTAGTGCACTTCTTTCCGTTTTCTCCTTCCTCTTCTTTTTCAACTAAATTTTGCAATACTTTAATATCCCATTGTATATTCTCGACGTTGAAAGGATATTTTAATAACAGAGAAATATGTTAATTGGTAAGCTTTACTGTGAAAAAAAAGAGAAGATAAGTCGTACCTGATAGTAACGATCAACCAGAGACAATAGGTGATTATCAGCATGCAGCAAAGAACAGCTAAACCCGTGCTTTCCCAAAAACGAAATCTGATGTAAGCAAACGCACCGATTCCGCATAAATATGTCGCTGCGATACAAAGTGGAGTTAGAACTATCAGGCATATCACGTCGCCAGTTATACCTTGTGGTCCGTATACGCTTCTAGTTTTCCACCATTGTCTAAAAGACTACCATAATTCGTACTTAATGACAATCGTTAGAATTTTGTAATTTAGGTTTTTACAGTTAAGCGGGTATTTCTACGTGAACGAAAAAATTTTAAGACCTCCTTCAAGCGTTGATAATTAATTAGCGGGTAGAGGGTGTGATTCTTTTGGCAAAAATAAATAAAAAATATAGAATAAACTTCGTTCATTCGAGGTTTACTTTTTGAGAATAACATAAGGTAACTTTTTTTATATAATTTTTTATTTCAGAGATATTTGTTAGAAACAAACTCTGTACCTACTACCTATGTATACATATATTATTCAATGAAATATTAGGGATGTAATATAAACTAAATATACTGATATTCACCTGTGACAGCGGTTTATTCTTCCTTTGTATTACGAATGAATATTTGCAAATCTCACAACGGTCCGTATTCGAGGTGGACAACCATTTTTCCAAACAGCTTGTATGGATCAGACCCAATGTACCAGAACATTCACAAGGATCTATCAATTCTTCTTTGCCTTCATCTACGAAACAATTTATTCTCTCGTCATTTCGATAAATTAAACATGACAACGTGTAGTTTGTTGATTTATTAATGATCGCTTCCGATTTTTCGATTTCGATCAATTCGTTTTAGAAAAGTACTTGGTTGTTATCTTAGTATCAACGTAAGTAGTAGGTTCGTTAATCAGGCTAATTATACATCAAAAATTTATATGTCAATAGTAGTTCCATTTTTGTTATTGTTATCGTGTGGGATTGCTGGTCTATCAGGATTGTGGTATAATGAAGCCTTTTAGAGAACTTCAATTATATAGATTACATATTTATAGGAATATAGTTCAGGCTTCCTTGTATTCGTTACATTTAATCAATTCAACATTTTTAACGCAAATCTATATTTTATGTCTAAACATTTTAAACATTTACTTTGAATGTAAACGAAAAGTGTAAAATGAAGAAAATTGTACACGCGTCTGATATTATTATTTTATATGCATTTTGATGAAAAGAATTACATATGTATGTATACTATTATGGTATACAGAATGGGTCAGGACGGGTGGTACAATCGATTATATCGTTTCCGAAATTCGATTATCTCGAAAACGAAGAAATATACTAACAAATTTTATTCTATATTTTCGACTTATTTTTGCATGTAGAATCACCTCCTGCCCGGTTCTACCACCCGTTCTAGCCTACCCTGTATATGTATACATATATGTATTTGCATGTGCTATAGGTTGCGTGTTATGTTTTGCTAGTAACCCCAAGTTTATTATCGTTTCATCATAAAACGTAACCATGACTCAGAAAATATTCCGAAATGTCATTCGATTCTATGTGATCTCATCAACATTATGATCAAAATTAAACCCCTAGGTATTTTAAAAATTCAAATGACTAATAAAAATACAAGGCGTACGATCATCAAAATATAATAATTCAACAAGTAATAGCATAATTGTATTGAAGCCTTCTTGCAGTTGTCTTTAAAATTTTTAATCAATATTCTTAAAAAATAAATATGTAAGAATCGAGGAAAGGGAAGTCTCAAGCGATCGGGACTCGCAACTCATGATCTTCAAAGTTGTCGCCCGTTGCGTACTGACCAGCCGTGCGCCTTTATCAAAATCGCCACTGCAGTCTTCCTGCCTCGTATTGTTAATATTTCTTTAGACTGCACTTGTAACGAGTTAGAAGATTTTCCTACTAATATAATTTCTTAGTTGTATCAAAATTATAACAAATGAAAAAATTACGATAAGTTATTAATTTATGTCTAAACCAATAAAATGTTGACATACTGTTTGAACAATTATTATGAAAAAGTACTTTATTTTTTAACGATGTATCTTATCATAAGTCATGTTATCATATTATGGTACGAAGAGTGACAATAATGTTTCGAGAATAATTCATTTAAAAATTTTATTTGGAAAATTAAACAGATGTGAAGTCATTGCTTTCAAACTAGTCCTCATGAAACTGTACATACGCGTTCCTGCATCGGATTCACTGATTCATTTCTGTTATCTGTTTTAATACCCGTGTTACATTACTATGAATTTCAGAAACTGACTGAAAATGCATTTCTTTCGTGACTCTTTACTCGAGGAAATAAAAAAAAAGTCACAAGGAGACAAATTAGACGAATAAAAACTCATTCTCTAGAATGACTGAACGTGCGAGAGCATTGTCATGATGCAGAATCCACGATGAAGCAATTTCAGGTTGTACTCATTTGACTCGATTGACAATGTTTACTTTCTGCATACAGGTAGAGGGGAGCTCGATCACACAGCGGGAACGAGCTGTTTACATTGTTGCCAATTTAACGAAAACAAAATTATTCTGAAAATTTCAAACTTTATTGTCATGTCTATTTCTCGTATTCCCATACTGCGTCATTCAGAAAAATGAAGGTATGAACAAGAAGTAAAAGATTGATATACTTTTAGACTTTAAATTAATATTCAGGTCCGTTACTTTCTTTCAAGACGGATAATTCGAAAATAAGAATAACAAAAATAATATTGAATAAAAACAAAAACATGTAACTCAAATTATACGAAATCCTTCACCGTGTTTTCTCTTCGAACACTTCTATTTATTATTTGAATATTTAAACAGTTATTTTTTTCGAAGATTACTTCAAACTATATGCGAAAATACCTTTGCACTGCTACTATTTTCAAACCAATTAAATTAACAATATTTCTTACAAATCACGAATACACTTTCTTTTCAAACAACATTCAAACACGAATCAAATATACGAAAACTTGATTTATGCACCACGCTTATATCCGAACAGCTTTATTTCAATTAGAAAAACACACTGCTTCCAAACTACATCCACGTATGTGTATTATCCAATTTACGGAAACACTTCACATATCTCGTTTTCGAATTACTTATTGTTAGTAATAAATCGATCGGAAAACTAGAAAATCAAGTACGAAATAAAGATCGAGCAGGTCTTACGATCGGTGTAAACAGGAAATAAAAATAAAAAAAGATGAAAATTGAAGATATTAGCGTATATACCTTCATGGCAGATTCGACAGAGAATAGAACCGGAACTTCGTTTATCCGGCGTCATGTTGCGGCGATACAAGGGTGAGGAAGAGATTTTCGGCGTGTCCGTGGTCACGGCGTCACCGGAGACCGCCGTCATTGCACTGCTCTGCTGAAATTCCATGAGACAATGAGACCCGTTATCGAGCTATTATCGAGGAATTATCGCCGGTTATATGCTCGTTGCCGGACGTCGACGTAGCGTTGTCCAGATGAAATCAACTGGTCGCTTTGTCTCAGAAATCGAAGCAATTTTGGCCGTCTATCGAATCGACGTATTTATCCTTGACACAGTCATCGAAATGTTTTGGTTTTATCGAGTACTGAGAAGCTTTGATACATGGAGGTGAAACAAGTAATATATGTAAATACATATTAATTTCGAATGTAAAACAATTTGTATTCATTTTCATTTAGTAGAAGGAGAAATTATGGTTGTTTGAATATATTATTGTTACTGTCTTGTTTTACTGTAACATCTAACGAAACATATTGTATAAATTTATTGCGAAAGAAAACTTACGATATTGCAAAGTTATTTAGAAAAAATAAATATGTAAAAAATATACATTTAGGGTTAATCTAATTTAGATAGAGAAAAAAATTATAAATTTATCCGTTTGTTAATTTTGATGCAATTGTGAAATTGTGGATATGTTTAAAATATCTAGTAGTTTGAAAACTATAATAAGTAAATGTATATATAGTGGTACAATGCATCTTATAATTTCTTTGTTAAAGTGTTTGTTTTAATATATTTATTGAAGGGTTTTTTGAAGCTATACATAAGTATGTATACATATACATATGTATATTGTAATAATATTCTACATTAAGAAACATTATTTATTTTATAGTAAAATATAACTGTTATAGTTCCAAAATATGACATTATTTTATAATTCTTATAATTTGTTTTATTAAACAAATAACAAATTTATATTGTGCACATGTACACAATTATTCTTGAAATATGATTTCTCAAATTATAATATCAAGGTTGTATGTATTTTCTGTATTTATTACTTTTTTCTGTTTAAAAATTACTTTTTAACATGAAAGAATCACAATTAAAACTAAAAAGTGTATGAAATTTATCCGTGTGCAATTTGAAGTACTCGAATGGTATTCTATGCCATAGTTAACCTAAAATAATCACGTAGAGTGCAAAACTACGTATGTAACTTTGAAAGTGAAAACACGATTGTAAACCCGATATATTAAAAAGAGTTTACAAGTCTCTATTTTAAGAGGCATAGAAGTGTTAATTGTAATCATGCTGTGATATGAATTTAATAACACTGAAAAGCAAATACATATTAGATCCTTGCAATTAAACTTATTAATAAAATTATATTATAATTGCAGAAAAAAATGACTTAATAATGTATTTGAAAATATTGATCCATATTAATATTATAGTATCGTTGCATCTATATATACTGACATAATGATAGGAATAAAAACATCTTTTGAAGAGATACACTTGTGACTTACAGAACATTAATATAAAAAACTAACATGAGTGTAACAAGTGAAGCCAGTGACATAAATTTTGATAAACAGAATGAAAAGGATGAAGATTTTAAAATCGACGATTATCAGAAAGAAATTGATAGTGATGATTCCTATTATGACATTCCAGAAACAAATGATGATGAAAATGTAAAGTCAAATTGACATAATTACACTGTTTGGTTCTTAAGTAGTGTAAGTTTGAAAATTAAATTTAGTCTGTAAGTTAAAAGTTTAGAAAGTGGATGTATTTTTGAGCTTTTCAAAAAGCATGTGATTTATGAGATAATTATTTTTTTTTTAAATAAATTTAAGTGGTACTGAATTTATAATAACATCAGATGCAAAAATTCTTATTTCTGAAAATTGGTAAATAAAACTCACACTATTTGGGAATCAAGCAATCAAGCATATTTATTTATTATTAAATTTATTTGAAAGTACAGACAAAATTACACAAAGATGTATTAATAAACCTTGTATAGGTCAAAGATAATGAAAATGAAATAGATGAACATCAAGAAAACGAACATATTGGACCAGTCCTTCCTGGTGGCCATAGATTTGATAGGAAGTTTATTTGTGTTAAATATCCTGGAAATGTCATTAATCCTGATAAAGCTATAGAAACTTTAGGTGGCATTCAAAACATTTCCACGGTATTGTATTCTTTTCTCATAAATATTAGAAGATTATAACTTTTATGAGATTAATGCTTGATAATTACTAATTGTCATTATATATTATATATGTGCAGGCAATAAGTACTCCATATCGACGTTTGGAGTTGAGGTTTAGACCTGATGATGCTTATTGTAAACCAACTTGTGGTGATAGACATAATACCAATGGGTTCTTACTCAAAGTCAAAATTAAAAAATCTAGGGTAATAAAAGTGGAAGAAGCTGAATTAAAACAGTCAAAGAAACAATGTACAAGTAATATGAATATAAATGATTCACCAAATGGTGATACTGAAAATGATGAAAATAATGTGGATGCAGTGAATCCAACAGAAATTCAAGACATACCTCAGTGCAGTAATGTAGAAAATAAAAATCAACAAGGGCAAATTATGACTGATTTAATCAATCAAGTACAATGTTGCAGCGTTAATACCTTAGGTGATTCTGTCACTCCACCTGATAAGGATTTACTTTCCAAAAGTGTTAAAGACTTACAAGATTTATCATCACATACAAGTGATGCAAATTTGTTAAAAAGTAAGAGAAATGTAGAACCAACATTTGATCGAAATAAATATGAAGATCTTTCTGAAGATAAAGACTATGAACTTCCAAAATTAAAAGTTTTAGGTCGAGTTGACACAGAATTTAAATTTATAAGTATGTATTGGTTAAAATGAAAAAAAATTGAATTTATTTAAGTCACATAGCAAAATGTTTGATACTGTTAATGTAAATGTTATGATACTTTAATATAGTATTATGTTTTATGTTTAAAGTAATATATAAATAATATTTTTCAGGTCTTTGTGATTTTCAGTATTTACCAATGACTCAAAAGAAAGATGATCCTAAAAAATTAGAATGTATATATGATAAAATTTATCCAAGTCATATACCACATTATGCATGGTTAAGGAATGATGTGCCTTACTTTTTACCACCAGCTGCGTTCAGCAGAATGGATACAGTACAGCAATATGTACCCAAAACTGAAATAAATTCGTATCCAGAAAATGTAATTGGAAAGAGCAGAAAACGAAGAGCGGGATTCTCAAATTTTATTTATTTTTCAACTCCGGAAGTGCCTACTAAACCTCCAGTAGGAATAGAAACCGCTATGAAAGTCAAATTTGTTCAAAACGCACACCTTGAACAAATTCGTCAAATCTTTGAGGAACGGCCAATTTGGTCGAAAAATGCAGTAATGTATAAAACTAAATTTTCTAACGATCGATTGAAAATTTTACTACCCTCCGTGGCATATTATTTTATGACTGGTCCGTGGAAGATTATGTGGGTAAAATTGGGATATGATCCGAGAAAAGACATTTCTGCAAGAAAATATCAAGTTTTAGATTATAGATTGAAAGCCATGCGTACGTTTCCACATATTATTAATATAATGTTATTGTTATTTAAAAATCATTTTATAATGACTTTATTCATCTGATTCAGATGGTTTGGGATCTACTGTAAAGTGTAAAAGAAATTACTCAGAGTATACATTACCATACAAATCAACTCCAGTTTCAAAACAAAAGACAATTGTACAAAATGCATCTTCAAGTCAAGAGCAGTATTATAAAAAACAACAAGACTTAAATGAAAATGTATATATTTATCGAGAGGGAATGATACCTCCTTCGAGGCAAATGTTTTATCAGGTTTATTATACTTTTCTAATTTTGTAAAATTAAAAGACATTGTAAATATTTTATATTTTGAATATCCAATACTTTTTAGTACTGCGACGTTCTTGTAAATGAAATACAAGAAATGTTAGCAAAGTTACCCGACCCTTTACCTAGTACTAGGTGTCATGAAAAAAGAGGTTGGTTGCCAAGTGGTTTCGATGTGCAGTGTCGAGAAATTATTAATAAACAAGTTCGAGCTGTTTTGAGAAAGCAACTAAATATACCTGAAGATCGTACGTACTAATATTTTAGTTTAGATTCTATGTAAAATATTATTATTTCATGCTCACAAAGCATACAACTAAAAGATACATACTAAATGTATGTCTACTTTTGTATTACTACATTTCACTTACAGATCCTACGTCTTTGCCACGAAAGCGAAAAAATAGAATTAAAATAAAATTTGATCAACTTAAAGGTAAGAAACGAAAGAAAAAAAGTGATTCCGTTTTTAGCGCAGAAGAAAACGAAGAAAAAAGTGATAAGACTGAATCTAGTGCTGATATAATAGAAAATGAGTGAACTGTATCAACATATAACAAAATTTTGAATAACAATCAGTTTACACATGTAATTGGTAACATTTCATAAATAAACAGAACCATTTAAATACCTACAATTAAAGTTTATTCATAAGTGTACAGAGTCTGTTTGCCAAATATCTATTAATAAATATGTTTACATCATTAATTACTCATTAATTGATACTGTAATTACAAATTTAATATAGTATAAAAGATTATTGAATTTTCTTGAAGAATGAGTGCAGGAAGAATGCAACGACGAGACATTCCAATGATATCGATGAACAATTAACGAAGAGCTACGATGTACACAATAATTATATACTTTTGAAAAATTATGATCTTAATTTCTTAATTTAAGCCATTTCATTGTAAGAACTGTATTATCTAAAATTTTGAAATATAAATATTACAGGTTTATGCAGCAAACATCTATTTATACTACGCACACTACATACACGGAGTGTAAAAATTCGTACTTTTTCTTGTTGTCAACAAAATATTGGGAATTTTAAGAAACGCATACTTGATTGATTCTATTATTTTACCATGCATATTTTATTTTGTACATAATAAACTTTAAATATTTGTTTATCCAATTCAAACTTTAAAACATACATCATTATGAAAGACAATGTTTTAAAGCTGTTGGAAAGCCAATTTACTTAAATAGTATAAATAATGTTTGATGATTATTTTTAGTCTTTCTGTTTTAATTTGTGTCTCGTCTAAATTGCAATAAAAGGAAAGACATGTGCGGATGATACGCGGATTGTTCATCCACAACGGCTTTTAGAGACGAATATTGGGATTGGTGTTGCCTACATAGTTCAATAGTTCTTCAGAGTCCTCGCAAACAAATGGTTTTTGATGATAACAGGCCACATCGTGCCAGCTGATTCCATCTTTGTAGACGTTGTTGAGGGCAGACAAGCAGGACTCATTGGTACCATTTATGTCAAATTCAGCATTATCTGGTTGCCTAACTTTCTTGTGACCGGTCTGAGACCATGGATTGAAAGTCCAACCTTCAGGAATCTGGTTAGTTGGAGAGATCTTCTTTCTGTTGGCTGACCAGAACCACCCATAGAGGGCTTTGGGTTCGAGGTCGCGACGATTTTCACATCCTTTGAAGTCGCAAAGACGTCCGGATGTCCAAATGTAAGGAACGTCGTCTATACAAAACAGAGTTTATTAATGTAGACAAGGAAAATTATATGTAATATATTAAGAATCCTCTTAATCATTTGATGTGATACATTAAAATTTGAAGTATAAGAAGTGTTAAAAAATTGTATTCTGAAAAAAGTTAAAAATACATTAGAAGTAAACGAATGAGTTTTATGAAATTATTCAGGTATAATAAAAATTTCTGATTTGTATTTACAAAAATTGAATATTACATGACTTTATTTTTGGTTTATAAATATTAAAAATTTAAAAATATATTGTACGATTATTTAAAAAATCTAATTTATATTCGATGGAACACAGTAACTTTTTGATTTTATTTCTCTAGAATCTCGTAGTACATATTTATTATATTTTTTAATTTTCGTAAACATTTGTCTGCTTTGAAGTTTGATTTTTATTTGTTTCTTTCTAATGTTAATAAATAGTAGTATCAATAACAATAACATTAATATTTTTTATAAAATTTCTAATGTCTTTCAAAACAATACTATTTCCTAAACAATGTTCAGAAGCAATTGTGTTTAATGTTCGTAGAAATGCCAACGCAGACGATTTTCAGATCGTATTTTTCCTTTCTAACACATACATGTGCTCGAAATGATTGATGTGTTTCGTGATGCAACTATGTATGTAAGTATGTACATATATAAAAAGATGAGATTCCCCAGCCTCAACCCACTTAAAGATCCTTCATCTCGCCTTGAAGATTCTGTTAGCTCGCTAACTTGAAGGTTATAAAGTCCTGACAACGAATGGAAATTGTATCTCTACACTTGCGAAACTAATTAGTTGTATGCAAATGAGCACACACAAATTTAAGCGGATGTACATAAAATTGACGTTCTCTTATCTTAAAATGTTCCTTCACTAAGAGAATAGTCTCACAATACTATTTTAATAGCTAACTGTAATCAATAGATTGAAATTATTGAATGTTATAAAAAAAAATGTATAATATTGTTCCAACAGCTAATTATAACTGGTATCCAACCGCAAAATAATTAATTATAATTCAATACATTTTTCGTTTTCATTTTTTAAATGGTGATAAATGGATCTGTCAAATTCTAATAATTCATCATACGTAGTAATAACTCATTTTATTAAAATTATTTGTTTTTTGAAATACTTATTTTGATGAGGAAATAATATAAGCTAATACCTAGTAATTAATAATAAAATCGACAAATTCGTTGTTTTCTTAAGACATTTGTCTAAGAAAAGAATTTTGTAATATAAAATAGCTAAGTAGCTATACATATAAGTATAAAATAGTTATTTGCAATAAGAATAGATTTTTATTCTCTTTTTAAAATACTAATTCAATAAAAAAATGTTTATGTAATATGGTTCTTATAATAGCCAATTAAAATATTAGGTTTTCCACTTTATTCAGTCGTGAAGAAATACCACGGTCGAAAATGCGATGCTACAAGACACTCATCGTGAAGTTGAAGCATCGTCACGAGGCGATGGATCATTTGTTTCGAAATTTCTGTATTACTTCGCCATCTGGAGAACGAAAGTTACACCAGGTAATAAATTGTTCACGAACCTGACTGCTTCTGTCTTCTTGCTGCTGATTTTATCTTGGTAGTGGTGGAACTTTCTAAGGCTGATGTTAAGTTAATGAATTCATACTCTTCTATATTTTTGCTAATATGTAAAATTCAATAACGATCGTTATACGAGATTGTTTCATATACCTTAGTTAGATCAACTATCGATTATTACTCAAGTTCTCGTAATTGCTAATTACGTAATTGCCAATTACGAGAATTAATTACGAGAATAATGAGATATCTGCGTTAAGAAATATATTTTCTTTACAATTTGTGTTTTTTGGGAAACTAAGTATATGTATGGTTATCTAATTTTAGGTTAGTTCATAGTATGTTTTAAGTATGTAGTATGAAGATGCCTGTATTTTGATAGATTTACTTTGATATAGTTTTTCTAAATTGATGTTTTACTTCGATTACCTCTTTATAACAATAGATTAGTACATTTATATATTCTTGATTGATTTAATGAACATCTTGTCAATTTAATGTAATTTTTTTTTATGAGAAACAGTCCAGGAATTGTAGGATTCCATTCTTGTATGGAATAATTGTAGAATGGTTTTTGTTGCAAAGCATTCCAATAATTTAAATCACTTACTTTGTTGAATGAGTCTGAAGATTAAGTTGTTTTCATCTTGTGTTTCCATTGACACGAGATCCATACAGTATTCCCTGCAGATATTTCGTGCATCTAACCAATCCACCCTCTGGTTTGCATGAGCTGGAATATGTCCACTGTAGAAGTAATTGTGTCCTCTGTAGTTGAATTCTTTCGGTCCTTCAAATTGAACAGAGAAGAATTAATTTTCTTTTTGTTAAATATTCTTGTTTTAATATCCAAATTTGGATTTCAGTTTTCATTTTAATTGATCAAGTTTATAATCAGTGCAATAGGAGTACAAAATATTGGATAAGTAGACTAAAGATTGTTAAAATATTTGATAGTCTACTTAAGTTTAATGAACACAATTTGCCAGAGATTTCTTTTTAAATACCATAACATCCCCAAATATGTATAGTACTTTTGGAAAATTTGTAATTTACATAAGTAATAGTATGGCAATTTTTATATTTTGCAGTATTTCCAAAGAAGAACATTAATAGTTAAATTTTATTTATTGAAAATGAAAACTGTATTGAGGATATCTGCTTTATTGAGATTCTTCATTCTTCCCAGTAACATTTGACATTCAAGGATGAAACAGAGTTTATTATTACGAGTGCCTTTGTGAATGTCTTTCAAGTGAAAAACGAAAAAATCGTTCGCGATTCAATTATCTCTATCGTGTGTACAAGCAAAGTGGATCTGTAATCGGGGGAGTGTCATTATCGTTTTCTTAAATGTCAACGGTCTTACACTTTTTCATGCTGTTTATGAAGGAATGCCTCTCTCGTCGAGGATTTACGGCGTGTGTCTCATTATGAGAGCTTAACGTTTTGATTGCGAAAGGGCTGCTCATATTGAACAGTACTACAGGCTGCTGCTAATCCTGTTTTAAAGCATGTATGCATGTGTGTTCTTTGTATCATCATTAAAATTCTAGTTTTGTCAAACTGCCTAATTCATAACCTATACGAATAGTCTGTAATTTACTTTGAAATATATTTGGATTATAAATTATTGTGGCTAATAAGATCATCGTTTATTGAATATTTCGCATAAGTTACATACGTTACGTTCTTTTAGGTACTGCTTAAAGTTAGAATTACTAAAGCATCTTATTTTTGCTTATATGTATGTACTCCTATTTCGTGAAACATTATTTAAGTCTGTATTAAATATTGAATTTAATGTTTATTTGAATGTAATTATTCTTAATTTCGCAGTTTTTATATCGTTTGCGTTAAACATGTAAAATCTTGCAAGTTAAGTATGAATGTGAAACTTTCCTAAAACAATCATTATTCTCATCTCGTCGAATTATTCCCGGAATATTGCGTTAATTTCATTACAATGAAAGAATAATATTCTGAGTAGCACCATTACTTAAGCAACATAGTGTCAGCTGTTAAAATTGATTATGCCAAAACCTGTTAATTCAGAGGCTTGCACGTAGAATGCATCTCTACATGCATACGTATTACCTATTTATTACACGTTTCGTTGCTTATAATATTACAAGGCGACGCGTGATCAATGTGTACAGACACGACCCGACTTCAGCGACAAGTAATCACGTGTAATCTCTATGAAGGTAAAATTGCTGCTGAATAAGAGGGAAGAAAGGAGAAAAAAGAACCGGCTAAATTACCCGTTCCTTCTGACATATCACGGAAAACAGAATCTCATGGTGAATGTCATCGCGAGTGGCTCGTTTTCTGAATGATTCTCAAGTAGAAGTCACCTGTTTGATTGCAAATCGAAACGTGGTACATTTCCTTTCGAGGAGTGAAATCAGCAATGGTATTGCTATTTCTAATAACGATAGTACGATATTTTATTAAGCGACATGAGGTTAGGTTAGGTTCTTCTTATCATATGATGATTTTTAAACTTACAAGTTTTTTTTAAACTTACCTGTTATTAATTATGTGAAGAAATAGAAAGTAATGTATATACTGATTTTATTTGAAGAAAAAACTTTATTTCATTTTTCAAATCAGGAACAAAGTAAAATGAAGTTAATTATAAAATTATTTAAGGTTCATATTGAACAGTGTAATATGTATAGTATTTGGAAACTAAAGCAAATACAATTTCTTGAAGATATCAATCTTCTTTCTTAAAAATTTGATCATTTCGGTACATCCTTTTAGAAACATCCTTTCGAAACATCCAAATCAAACGTCATTTCTCTTTTTTTCTGTAATAAATTTCCTGTGTCAAAATTGTACAATAGTCTTTGACAACAACGATCGCAGAAACAATCCGATATCGGATATGATCTTGTCCGTTGTACGCTTCATAATATTTGAAAATCTACTTCCGTTATTTGCAATATCAGTTTCCTTCCTTTTTATTTCTCAATGGTAATGAATTTTCTTTCGACCAATAAACGAATGAAAGAAACTTCGACCTTTCTGTTTTTTTTATTACCTTTTCCATTATCTTTATGAGTTGTTGCCCTAAAACACTTATGTTCGCGCATTCTCTTCTAAGATCCAATTACGTCAATTTAGCTAATTGAATCGGAAAGCTTCTACCATTATTAAAAAAATAATTACGTGTTTTCTAATTGACTGCTAGTTTCAAATGAATATTATAGCTTTCATAAGTATCTGTAGGACACGTTCAAATATTTTTTCGGAGAGAAACGATTAGCTATACGAATTATATTCTATACATAATCACCCAGCGTTGTAAAAAATTTATTAAAATTTTTTTTGTTGCAATTAAGTACCATTTTGCTGAATTACAATTACGATGTACAATGTTATACAGAGTGTCCAACCTACAGGTTAGGTTAGGTTTATTTAGTCACCTAAATATTTCCTTCAGTTGTGACGATACAAAAAATCGTATGCAATTTGAATGGTATCCAGAGAGAAGAATATTTTTGTACCAGTCATTTTTTTCCGGGGTTTTCAAGGTCACCCATGTTGTTGTTTTTTTTTTTTTTGCATATAAGTGGATATTTGTTTCCCTTGCATATTGTAGGTGGCATTAAAATGCGTTTTATTTTAATTATCGTATGTATTAGGAAATATATCCGAAATTTTGTTTAATTATTTATAATTAATATAGTTGGTATTACCCGTTCAGCTGACAGAAAGAAAAATTGATTCATTTAGTCGTCAGATATATACAATGTGAATAATCAATTCAGGGCGGAGAAAGTAGAATTTATTAATTGGGGAATAATAGACATCTGTCATTTTGTACGCTTACTTCCGGCAGAATTGATCGATCATATTTACAAATGGAATACCTTGAGTGGACGTTCGGAATTTATGACATTTCTAAAGCAAATCGATTCTATAAAAGCTTGTAGTTATTTGGTTTTTACATTCTCGTTCTGCATATTTAAATATCATTAACAAACAGAATTTCGTTTAAGTTATGATTACGGAGAATTTCAGGGAACATTTAAATGTTTACCAGCAATGTTTCTGTGTGTTTATCTTTCTATTGAATATCTTATACCCAATATATATTATTCAAACATATGTTAGTCAAACATTTATAATATCCTCTATATTCCTCTTCAGCGATTCAATTTACTTTGTAATATTTTTTTAAACTGGACAGCATCTTGAGAGCATCTACTTCAATTTAGCTCTCAGCTAGTAAGATTTATATAATGCAAAAATAATTGTACATTTAGTACTTTATGCTTTATAAAAATTATCGAACGTTGGAAAATCGTACAATATTCAAATGCTTTTGTTTACACTATTTGAAGTAAATATTTAAATTTCTTAAATTATCTACAAAAAAAGAAAACTATCATATTGTCTATTTAGTTTACAAGATACTACATATATAATTTATTCCAAAAGAATATTTAAAGCGTATTAAACTTTACCATTTAACGACATCTGGAAACACTACGTGATTGATCATGTTATTCGTCTATTCGAAAAATATACGCAGGAATTAAAAAAAAGAAGGTTTCAGGATAATTTATTCACGGAGTCGTTACAAACAGCGGAAAGAATAACACTAGCGAGAGCAGGAGGCTTCTCTCTTCAGCTTCTCATTTATGGCAGGAGTTCCAAACCAATGGAAATCTGCACGTGTTTTATAACAAATGTCATCGAACGTTTGAAACGTTTAATTTATGCGAGTAAAACGTTTAATATTTGTGGACAATATTTACGAGCTACGTAACACGAGTCGTGTACCATTTCTCGACAAGGAAAGAAGAAAGTGTAAGTACGACTCTCTCTTTTTTTTCGGATTATTTTCTCCAAGTAAACATTTCGAAAAATTGAGTCCAAGAGTGCTTTTATAAAAAAGAACACATGATTTTAATTTTAATTTTAACATTTAAAACACTTGCCCGTGTACTTTTATTGTTTTCAAAGGAAAAGTATTATTTCATTAAGTGTAAGTTAAACATTTTAACATTTGCACAAACGTTTCGAACGAGGACTCCTCGTGCAATAAGCGTAATCAAAACTCATAAATAAATCGTGAACGTTGAATAGAGAAGCGATGGAAACGAAAGTGAAGTCGGAGATGAAACTTTTTCTCGCGGCTCGAGTCAATGGGTCGAGACTCCATTCGTCTCATAACCGAGGATAACAGGTTTTCTTTTCCCATCGCTGCCGTCCGTTAGCTATTCTCAATCAGACACGCATCTTTGTACGAAAATAAATTGAATAACGATGCGTGTAATGCAGATTTCCAATTCATCGTACTGTCCCCTTTGATATAATTTATTCGATTATACACGCTGCTATTGAAAGTTAACGCGTGAGTAAAGATCTGATCTTTTGTGTTTGCATAGCTGGAGAATAATTATGTAGATATTGATCAATGGGCAAAACGTCGAAGATAATGATTTTCATCCGTTTAAGATTATTTCCTTTTTATATCTCATATAACGAAGATTGATCATTTTTATATTGTCATAGGAATTGTACAATGGTTCCTTTGTTTTGTGTTCAATTCGTTTGTTGGTTTGAATAGAACAATTTCAAATTCAGTTCGTAAGATTGAGAGTGATGTAAGTAATGTAAAACGAACGTTATAAAACGTGTATTACGTCTCGTGAGAAACAGTTAATATATTCATGAAGTAATATCCAACGATTAATTATTAGATGTAAAGCATTTTACTCGTCTCTTTTTTTAACTGTAAAAAACACGCACCGGTTATTCAATAATTGATAAGATATTGTAATAAAATGCAATGATGGACAATATTTATTGTGGGTGACAAAAGACCGAGAGACCGGATTAGGGTTAAAGAAATATACAAGATCAAGGTAATTCTCACAATACGATGTACAAAACAGCCAATTTTTGTACAATTTTGCAAAGAAGTTGTAGAACTTAGAAATTTTTGTAGGGAGATACAATGTAGTGAAATTTTCATAAAAAGAATAAAAAGCTGAGTAATGTTTGCATAAAAATACGCAGAATCGTAAAATTTTTAGAAAAGGTACGTAAAGTGTTTGAAATCTTTGAAAAGGGCGCGAAAAATGTGTCACCTATTGGTGAAGAAGGAAAACAATCTACAATGTGAAGTTAATCGAAGTTCATTAGAAGGTAAAACGTGCACGAGGTATCGTTAAAGAGCGGGTACAACGAGCCGCGTTGAAATTATCTCTGTGGAACGTCGTTGTTTCATTTCACAACAATTCTTGACATTTTCGTGGCGACTGAACACTGGTCTTTTGTGAAGTTGTCAGTCAGGCAACCTTATGAGCTATATGTTGCGACAGCTGATTGGTCAGCTGCACTGTCATAAGGTAATTGAACGATAATTCGTTAGTTGAAGCCTTCCGTGTGCTAGCAATATTGTACAATCTCGAAGAAGAATTGTTTCAGACATTAACATTACTTGTTGCACATAATGAATCAACTTTTGTTAACTTGACTTAAGGCTTATTTACATTTCGTAAGAATATGAAGTTTTTTTTTTAGAAGTATACGTAATTTTGATCATTCTAACATAGAAAATGTTTGCTGGATCGTCGAAATTTGTATTCATTATATAGACAGATCGTTTCATTAACTTTCTAACCACTTGTCTTGATTGACACGAATGGACGCGCCCTCTATTTTTTTTACGGCGCCATTTACTTTCACTGAAATTCTCATAAATTTCGCATCGAAATACATTATATGGATGGATTATTACGTACAAAGTGAATGTCGATGGAGTGAAATAAATCAAATAAATGAAGAAGAGTAGAACTGAAATATTTATACGTACGTAAGTACACCTAACCATAAAATTTTTGCCTCACCGCTGATTAGACGGACAAGGTTCGCGAATAGACTTTAAAGAGCGATCTTATTAACGAAAAATCAGTCACTTTTCGAGAAATCTTGGCAGAAGGATCTCAGCTATCCTGACCCAAGTGCATCGAGCTATTATTCCACAACTTTTCTTTTGATTCGACAAATCTTGGCAGAAGGATCTTGCCATTCTGACCCAAGTGCATCGAGTCAAATCTCCTGCTCTGTACTCTGTTCGGTTGATAGTTATCTCGTTTCGTTTTCTTTTTCTAACAACTTTACCAACATAGTTTTCAAATAAACTCGTATTACACATGCGTTTATTACTTAATATACAAGTACTGTGTATGCACGTTACGTATAAACGTCAGATGAAAATATCTTCCATTATTGAAGTTACAACACGTCTAGATGCAGAAAAATGCAGCTCTTTCTAAAGAAATGATTTCGCATATACGATGATTTCATCGACGCAACGCGTGACTAGAATTTCCCATTATTGCTAACGAAAGTTGCCAAGTAGATGCAATAATTTTTGCTTTTAATTTTTCCTGACCATGCTTTGTTTATACATGACTGTACAAAGGGAACATTAAAGTGATCTTAAAGAGAGCGAGCAGGAAGAATGAACTGCGTTTCAACGGAGTATATATGTAATAATGAACAAATGTTTAAGCAGACATCTATTTTGACAATGATCAGTTGACTAGTTAACAAATTTAAACGTTTTATCACTTTCAATAATCCTTTGAGTCTTCTCTCAAGTGAAGCTTGCAGTGAAATATCCGTTAAAAATCGCCTTGAAGTGAGATATGACTGACCCCTTTGGTGAAGCACCAGCGGGAAGTGGAGTTTAATGCAAAAAGGAGAAAGTGAATTGTATATTCCCCAAGAACATTTTTTATTCAGAATAAAAAGGTAGTATATTCTATCGTAACTTTCAATGTTGTTCGTTATCTTCGGTAACTCATTCGAAACGAAGGTTATTCAAATCGGTAAAGGTTAATAAGTGTATGCATTTAGAGAAATAATTGAATTTAGACGAAAGTTCGTGTGTCGTTAATTTTAACAGAGACAAATTGAAAAATACTAAAATATTTTCATTTTAACACACGAAAATTATAGTGAACAATTTTGCTATTATCAGATTATTACGTGAAAAAGCGAAACATGTACACAACTTAAAAAAAAAAAAAAAAGAATGTACAAATGAAACATTACGGTAGCGCATTTCTTTATCTGGACACGAAGCGTAAATATCGAGAGTAAAGTGACGATCACGCGCTATCGATCACTCTTTTCTCAATTTCTCGAAGATCTGACGATCAATCGTAAATTCGTTTTATTACAAATGATACAAATGTAAAAAAAACACAGACATACAGATAACTATGGTGGCAAGTGTTGTATTTTACCCTATCTCCCAGCACAATGAACCAGGGAAGAAATGCTCTAACGCGATGATTTTTATCTCACGGCGCACATAAACTAATTACTGAAATTTGACGACACACCAAAAAATAAGCATACATTTTCAACCGATTTCCAAAAAAAAAAAACAAATATTTACTTCTTTAACATGTATTACGAAAAATCTTGGGCACACCGGTTAAAAATCAGCGCTCCAACGTAATGTCGTATACGAAAGAAGGATTAATGGCCTACATTGACAAATGTTTCTTTTTTTTACGACACGACGAAGAATAAAACTGTTAGCGGAAAGCTTCTCGAAACATCCTGTTCAATATTACGCAACTCAGTCGGTACGTCGGCTCTCTTGTTGGCCCTGAATCGGTGTTGGTCTCTTCCTTAACTTCATCCCGTTACACGTCCTCTCTCGCTAATTATCACGCCGCGATTGCGAGACATCTGCCGGTTTCTCGATTTTGCATCCTAGCCGTGAGAAAGTGCATCGAACGCGAACGAACAACGAACGAGAGAGACGTTGCTCTTGCATTCCCCCGACCCTGTTAACAACAAGCCTGCCAACCGACCGACTAACCAATCATCCAACCAACCAACCATCCCAGTTACAATCGTCAAAAGTGAATAGCCTGGCTTGGTGCGTGCTTGCACAAGAGTTGAGTGCCTCTTTACTTTGGAAAAGTATACGATCGTAAGATTGTGCGAGAGCATCGTTCCCGCGTGTATCGGCGGGGGGGGGGGGGGGGGGGGCTTTAACCTCGATTTCTTTCAGTTGCCGCGCCGGGAGAACGTGCCGGTGCATCTTAATGCCCTGGATTCGCGGAAGAGAATTGTATTTTCGTTCACCGCTTAAACAGTCGGCGCGGATATATATCGCGCCAGTTTTGAAATCGTGATTAGAAATGTAGGGAGGGGGCTTTTAAGATCGGGATGCCGATGAATAGAATCATCGAGATTATGGAGTTTCGTAACGGTGTATGTTTGTGATGCTGGTTGAATTCGCGAACTCTGGTTCTCTCGTAGTTTTTTTCTTTTTCTCAGTTAAGATGATGTTTTGGTAGTTTTTTCTTTTTCTTGTTTTTGCATGAGAAGTTGAACATTTCGAAATGGAAAATCTACTTACGGTTTGCACATTTCTGCGGCACAGGAAGAGACAGGAATCTTCCCGGTCTGTTGCTCTGCGGCCGAATTTCATTTATTGCCGGCTGAGCGTTCACCAGCGCCGCGAAGAGTATCACGGCCAGCGGCACCCACAACATCTGAAAATGAAATTCATCCTTGTAAAGATAAAGTTGTTTTTCGAGTTTTGCGAATGTTTTTCTGGTTTAAATTTGGTCGCATCGTGGTCAGAGGTACGAAAGAAACTAACCGAATACGGGAACGAATAACAAAGTGTAAACAGAAATTGGGTGAACCGAACGTAGATTTTCTTCTTTTCTCATTGTTGGAAAAGTACAGTTTCAAAGTGTATAGGAATTCTAATTTTGCACATTTTTTAACGTGTGACGTAGTCGTTAAAAAAAATATGCAATTCAATTTTGACTTTTAATTTCAGTTCTCGATTTTCCTAATCGACTACGTAGTTTGAACTTTCGATAAAGTTTAATTACCGGTTCCATTAAAACACGAGTTCGTTGCTTCCAAAATTACAGCAACAAGCGCCTCTCTCCGATGAAATATTCATTAAAGAACGAAACTACTTTGAATACGATTAATTCGAAGTCTAGAAAGATTATCTAAGGTGAGAATATTTCTCGCGTAAGAAACACTCGTACGCAATAAGTGGATATTTCATGCGTACGCGATACATGGATAGAACATCGAAGAGAATTTCGGAGAGAATTGAAAGAAACAAAATGCAAAATGCAAATGTCTGAAACTAAATGCAAATCTCGTCCGATCTCTCGTACAAACGCGGGACCCACTGATCTTTCCTAACTACATCGAATCACATTAACAGAGAAATGTCTTTACTAATCGGCGAATGATGGATCGCGGTGATATTCGAGATTCAAATGAGGATCGATTAAATCCTAAAGCATCGAAGGACGGAAAGTTAATTATAATTTTAAAACAGCGTGTTGCCGGTAAGATGCAATTGTCATTCACATCGTGACCAAAAACCGGTGAGAGTTTCGCTGGCTAAAACTGATCCGAAGATAGGATCGTGGACTCCATATATATACATTTAGTTTCCTTAAGTCAACAAGAGAGTTTCACTTAAGGAGTGTCTTTATTTGCTGAAAGAACGAACGGTGCATGTCGCTTTTTACGGATAGATAAAAGCTTCGGATTCTGCCTTACGTGCAAACTATTATGTTACACGGTAATCCGGTAATTGGCGTTGACTTTTTGCCCATCGAAAATTGGGCTAACGACCGAACGTTCCCGTGTAGGGTTCAGACTTAATGATGAAAAGCGAGATAACGCGCGAGGCAAAAGTATTCTTATGTAACGGACATTAAATAATTTTACGTAATTGATATATAATTCGTGAAAAATGAACGGAAGACCGTAGTTTCGCGATTCCTCCTGTGTTATCGTAAAGATTTCCTTGAGAGGGGAGAAAGGAGTAGAGGAACGCTATCGGTACTGAGCAAAAGATTGAATTTTAACGAGACACCTTTCGTTTGTATATCTTTTGTAACTTATGCAGTTTAATTTATAATTACTGCAGCGAGATATTTTCTATATCGAGAAGAAGAATCGTTTAAATAATTTGAGATTGGTAAAAAGAAAAATTTCCTGCTGTAAACTTATCGGTATCGCAGTTCAGAGGTTTAAAACACTGTAAGGATGTGTGTAAGTAACAAAAAACGATTAGACAAATACACAATTGAAAAGAAATTAATGTTTCTTCATAGGTACATTCTTGTACGTAACTGTACAGTTTGGTTTTACTTTGCAAAATCAATCAGATAATAATTGACTATCGCGTGAATCATTGATTGAAATATTACTTCTTAAACATTCAGTTTATGTATTTACATTAATGAAGATTTTAAGCCAATTTGAATACCAACCGGTGAGTTATATCCTCTCGTAAAGATCTAGACTCTGTTGATGCTATTAAAAATTTATATTGCCGAAATTAAGAATAAGAAGTGACTTCTCTGCGATTCATTGTCATCCGAGACCATTTTAGCCGTGATTTATTTAAACAGTACACAACATTTGAAGACTGTTCTAACTTAATTTTTATCAACTAATTCAATTGTTATTACTTAATTGAATTTTCTTCTTTATTCTTCGTAAAAGTCTTTTGAACAATATGAAAAACATTCTACTTATACAACGAACATTCTCTACCGTCATCGAAACTGAAAGAATACTCATTTTTAGTATTCGTCACACGGGAGAGAAAAGCACTTGGTGTCTGCAACGTTCATTGGGATGTACATATTTAGTTTCTTACTTTCTCTCTCTCTCTTTCTCTCTTTTTCTCTCCCTCTCTTTACCTCCCTCTCTTTACCTCTGAAAATGCTGTTCAGCATAGACGATTCTAAGAAAATTGCCAAATTGTGGCAAAAGAAGCGATGCAAATTGTGCACATTGTGTTCCTTTTTCTTCCTTTCTAACCTCTTTCAAACACTCACCTTGTCTCACTTGTCTTTTTTTCTCTCTTTTGTTCTTGGATTAAATATGTAACGGATGAAGAGATCGACGGTTAAAGAAACGTGCTCACTGGTAGGATTATGAAGAGACAGGCACCTTCAGCGTCGATTATATAGAAATAGTCCCCACCAGCTCGTAGAACTCATCCCACCCTGAGTTAGTACAAGGACCCGTCTAGAGTCTTCACGGCTCAACCTTACTCACAATTCGGACTGTAGAGTAATTCGGGGGTTAGGAAGGTTCTTCTTGTTTCTCGTGCATCCCCTTTTAACACTCTTACACTCTGCGTTCGAGAAGGCAGGAGGCGATTTGTCGATCAAGATCTTTCGCTGTTCTTGCGATAATGAATCAGAATTGACGCGTGACCGGTGTATTCGTGTAACTCGGAAGTGCGGATGTAGAATATTTCTGATAAACAGACATTTGAGTACGTTTGAGTCAAATTTGTGAATTTGTCTCATGATTTACTATATTTCTTTCAATTTCTCGCGGAGACATTTATTCGATTTAGTCAAATTCTCAAGTAGTACGATTGAGAAAAAATGTTGGTGCAAGTGAGAAGTATGTTAAGTTATTTTATACGCGTGAAAATAAAGTTCAGCGTTGTACAAGTTTGAAACGTAAATTTTCTTGGTGTTTTGCAGTCCGAGTTTACATGTAATGCAAAGCAACGAAGTATAAATCAGTAACATACAATTGTAATAAATGACTTGAGTAATGTTATTTAACGTAGCATTCGGTATTTAACGTAAAAAAGTTATTTTAAAATTTTCAAATTCAAACATCGAAAGAAACAATTAACACTGAAAACGATCAATTCGAGAAATTTTTTGCAAAATTCAATTTTATTAGAATCGTTTTACAAATCGTTCATCGATTGTAAAATATAGGGCAACAAAGAGCAACGTTAATATTTCTGTGTGTTTGTTTAGCCATTGGTTAGAGGTAACTCGATAATCGACGCACGACCCAGAAGAAACGTATTTTCCCTGCATTCCATTGTATTTACTTCTAAATGCATTTTCGTTTGCTCGCATAAATATCCCGTGTAATATGCTAATATTGTTTACAAACTTTCCTTTTCGTTCGATCCTCGTGTTATTCGTGAAAAAACTAAGCAACAGTATGGACTTTATTTCGCTTCGTGTGCAAATTTCAGTTATTGCACCTGCGACTGTGTCATAGAACAGCAATTTGTCCTGTGGAAAGTTGGAATGGTGAAAAAATACATAGGAAGTAATGAATAATTTATGATTTGAATAACAAAAAATTTGCAAGTGTTTATGTAACAGGTGTCTTCTATTGTATATTGAACATTTTCCTATTTAACCCTTTACGGGCGGTGATATTCCTTACAAGGTGTTCTGGGAATGATGGTAGAACCGGAAATAAGACGATTCCTCGCGTGAAAGTAAGTCGAAGATACAGAATGAAATTTGTTCGTATATGGTTTCGATTTCGAAATGATCGAATTTAAACATTCTTTAACTTTAGAATAAATTATTTCTTTAACGTGACTCCACTGTTCTAAAGATAATAAAAATCGTGTTCAATTAAAGAGCAATATGATACGGGCATTCGAGAAAATGAAGAATTTGAATATATTATCATTGGTTCGTGATTCTTTAATTCGCCAAGCAAAAATTTCTCTGCTTCATCAAGGACGACGTTTTCGTTTTACCATTTTTCTATTAATAAAATAAACAGATTATTGAAATTTCTTGCATTGTTTTAAACTATACCAAATCCAGACTGACAGAAATAGCGGTTAATAGTCAGATTGGGTGAACCAAGCAGATTGTGCTTGATTTAATTTAATGTGATTGTGATTTAAATTCTATCTTCTCGAAATTTCAACTAATATGAATTGGATTTACTTTTACACGAGGGATCATCTTCTTTTTGGTTATACCACGATCTCCGGAGCACCCTTTATATGCGTTTGGTAAATTTTCAGCTTGCGCTTTCGACACAAGCGAAGTATTAAATGTTTGCGATATATATATAACCGAAAATTACTTAAGAATTTAATTAACGAAGTTAATAAAGTTAATTAAGATTGATTAATTGGTAACTCCATACATTGTGCAATATACGATAAAAGTGAGCTGACAATTTCTAGTGACTATCACTGTAGCGGCTCGGCCTTACAGAGTGCTGCACTTCGAACCGCTGCGTCCGCAAAGGGTTAAAGAAAATTGCAAGAGAAAACTATTGTATTCACTGTTTATATTTATTTTCAATACTTATATATCGAGTACTTCAAAACTTTTACCGAATGTTTAACTTTAATGAATTTGCTAAATCATTACTACATTTATTATTTGAACGGTGTAATTTGTATAAATGTGTTATCAAAGTAACCAAAAATTGCTCACACGTCGATTCTCAATTGATACATCTCCAACTCTACAGTTTTTGCAAACTTTTCCATTGCATAACGAATGAAATGTTTCGTATCGACTAGGAGGTCTGCACGGATTAAAAAAAAGGAAAAAAACAAGTAATTGAAAAGAGAAAGAACGATAGGCGTGAAACGCACACGCTGCTTCTTATATAACAACGCAACGAACCAGATGTCCACAATAAGGTTCTCTCCCTCTCTCCCACCCATGCTACCCCCTTCTCTCTCTCTCTCTCTCTC